AAGTAGAGTGGCCAGGACTTGAACCAGCACCCATATAGGATACCAGCATTGCAAGCTGAGGCTTAACCTGTTACACCACAGTGCCAGCCCCTATGATGTGGCTTTGACTCAGAACAACAAAGGTGTAAGGTCCTAAGAACTATAATCATTTTTTGTGTGTGTGTTGCTATCAGGGAAGAGTGTTTTGTAAAAAGAATCCTGTGTCTAATATTTACATGTAAGTTAATTGTGTTGATTGTATTATTGTTTCAGTTGGAATTTGTTATATGCAAGTTTTCTTAAACTTGTTAATGTATTTTGTGTGCATACAGAAATTTACTCATGAAAAAGGCAATGTCATTATGTTGAACCCATTCATTCAACCAACATTTACTTTATACTTGATACCTTTTAGACACTGTATACTGTGTGATCACAAAAATACATCAAGATCAACCCATATGATATTGAAAACATTTGTTTGCTTGTCATGAACAAAAATGAAAATTTCACATGATCTATCTAAATATAAGCTCTCTTGTCTTCTCTGGAGTAACCTAAGAGCATAATCAAAATAGTACATAGTGAGTTGTAGCTGTGTAGACCAGTGCATTTTTTTTTTTGACCATGCAATCTGTATTTTTATTGACTTCTTTTCTAACAAGTCACATGAGAAAAAAATAAGGAAATTCAACCCTTTGAAGCAATGTTATCTAAAAGGTTATGCTATTTTGAAATACTAACTACACATTTTATAATAGCTTTCATATTCATCAATGTACTACGTAATTCACCCTACTTAACAAGTGAGAAGTATATCATCACTAGTTGGAAAACTAGTGACAATAGAGAAAATGCTAGAGGGGGTCTGCTACATTAGTCATGTAAAACATCTTTTCCCCTGGAAATTCAGGCAGAGATGAAGACCATCATTTTTTTTTTTCAAAAATATTTGTTTATTTATTTATTTGAAAGGCAGAATTTAGAGAGAGAGGGAGAAACAGAGAGAGAGAGGGGAGAGAGAAATCTTCCATCTACTGATTCACTCTCCAAATGGCCACAATAGCTAGAGCTGGGCCAGTCTGGAATCAGGGGCTTCTTCTGGGTCTGCCACATGGGTACAGGGGCTCAAGCACTTGGGCCATCCTTTGCTGCTTTTCCCAGGCCATTAGCAGGGAGCTGGAATGGAAGTGGAGCAGCTGGGACTTGAATTGGTTATGTGGGATCTCAAGATCAGAAGTGGAGGCTTTAACCTGCTATACCACAATGCTGGCTCCAAAATTTCCACTTGTTTATATGTAAATCTGAAAAGACAAATGGCAATGATAATTATTTTAATTTTTATTAGATTATACGATACTAGTATCAGTATTGGTATGCATAAAAATGTTTGCATGTTGGCAATTGTATATAGTTTATCCTGATAAGTAATAGATCATTTTTGTTTCCCTGAGGAAAATTAAACCAACATAATTGGATTATTCATGAAGACATGAAATTCATTTCTGGGATAGGATTTCCTATTGTTTATTGTCACAAGTAACTTGTTGCAGGAGTCATTGCTTGGGCAATTTCACAGCAATACTTACAATGAATGACCTTTTATGTAAGGCAAGTGATAGTAGTGGCACCAGATACAGGAGCATGCCTGTTTGTTTACCAGTATCCTGCTCTGATTATGTGAGACATCTACAAAGAAGATCACTGCTTAGGTGATAGATTGTTTGTCTCCTACCCACAGACAGCCAAGTGGATAGAAGTATATCCACATAGCTGGGAGCAGTCATCATCTTGGTAAATATGTAAGAGGCAGACAGGCATGTGACATGCACCTGTGAATTGTCTTGTTTCAAAGGGCAGGCTGCTACACTCCTTCTATGTGCCTATCCAGTATGCCCAAATACCTTCCACGAACTTTTCTGGTATCACTACTTGGATTCTGTAATACGTAGTGACACTGGCAGAAAGTAGGAAAATAACAAGAGATTTCAGTAGCATGATAGAAATTCTGTTGTGAACAAAACCAAGATATCTGAAAAACATTGCTAACTCTTTTTTTTTTTTTTTTTTGACAGGCAGAGTGGACAGTGAGAGAGAGAGACAGAGAGAAAGGTCTTCCTTTGCCGTTGGTTCACCCTCCAATGGCCGCCGCGGCCGGCGCGCTGTGGCCGGAGCACCGCGCCTATCCGAAGGCAGGAGCCAGGTGCTTATCCTGGTCTCCCATGGGGTGCAGGGCCCAAGCACTTGGGCCATCCTCCACTGCACTCCTGGGCCACAGCAGAGAGCTGGCCTGGAAGAGGGGCAACCAGGACAGAACCCGTGCCCCGACCGGGACTAGAACCCGGTGTGCCATCGCCGCTATGGGGAGGATTAGCCTATTGAGCCACGGCACCGGCCTGCTAACTCTTTTTATGCATTTTTCCCTTTTCAACAAGTGTTTACCATTATTTCACTTTTTAGAAAGTAATTTTCTTTTGAAAATTGAACTGCAATTATGAATACAGTGAACTAAACATTAAACAGCAAAATTCATGCAATATTGCCTATGTAAAGTACTTCTATGTATTTGGGGAAGATACTATTTTACTGTATTCTAAAATTGTCTTTTGGGGCATGGTAGTTAGGATATTTTTCCATTATAAGAAGACATAATTGTTGAAGAGGTACAAAAGGTGAAATAAGAAGTATAAAAGCAATATGAAATTTAAGCTGCCAAACATTGCTGCAAATGAATACTCATTTTAAAATTACTTGATAGTGATATAGAAAACTTTAATGATTTCTCTGTTTCTATTAAATGTCTTTAGCAGCTTTCTAACAGTTTTTCTTGTAAAATTTAGGAACATCTCATTCTTAGAGGTAACTTTTTTTTTAAATTTTTTTATTTAATGAACATAAATTTCCAAATTACAGCTTATGGATTACAATAGCTTCCCCGCCCCATAACTTCCCTCCCATCCACAACGCTCCCCTCTCCCACTCCCTCTCCCCTTCCATTCACATCAAGATTCATTTTCAATTATCTTTATATACAGAAGATCAATTTAGCATATATTAAGTAAAGATTTCCACATTTT